TAAAAGGTACTCTAAGATATTAATGAAAGAATCCAGAGCTAGATTGCTGTGTTGGCATATTTAATCCCAATCTTTGTCGATGGATCTAATGCAAGCTTCAAACTAAACATTACTGAAAAGTGAGACTACATCTAGACTAGCAATAACGTGATCAGGAGGTATTTGAAACCTATTAAATTGTTGACAAACATCAAAAGAGTATTTTATACAGTATTCTCCTTTGATGTGAGCTGACTTTAAAGTATCTGCAATTAATGAGGATAAGGCTAGTGTGGCTGATTCAACAGATGCCACAAATGGGTCTTACTGACAGAACCGGTTTATGTATTTTGGGAACAGCATACAATTTAGGAGAGACAGAATTATAAGTGATTAAGGACTTCTTTTGGTCCTGGTTGATTTGACCAGTGCTGAGTAGCCTGTGACAATGCCATTGCTTCCTTTCTCTACTTTAGATGTAGGGTCTTTATTGATAACTTTATAAGAGGGATCATTCTCAATCAAGTTATTACATAGGTCAACATATTGTTGTCTTAACATAATTACAGTAACATTGCCTATATCTGATTTTGTAACAATTAAATGATCTTTTATAAATTTCCTTGTTTTATTTAACAGGCTGTGATAGAAATAATGTTTTTTGTTGATGCTACTGTTATGAAAGTAGTTTATGATAATGTTGGTGGAACGAGTTATGACAATGTTCCTTTCTGTACCATCACTAATGGAAGAAGATATAGAATCTGCATCAGACAGAATATGTCTGATTGCAATGTCACTGTTAACAAACGGTACAACGCTGAATTTTGGACCCAAAGAAAGAAATCTTGAGATGTCATCTGGAATGCTGACATTACTAAGGTTTTTCACCCAGTTTGGCTGAGTGTTGAGCAAAATTTTCATTGTGTCACTTAGTAACCTCTCAAATTTACGAATATTAGAATTTTTGATAGAATGGAACAATGTATAATGTCTTAATTGCCTCGATTGAAAATTATTGAAAATTAAGGGGGAAGTGAGAGAAATGATTTCAGTTTTCAAAGATTAAGGAAATGACGATTTGACAATTCATATAGATATGGAAAAGTACTTGGAATACTTTTTAAAACATTCAAGTAAATTTTGCGGGAGCTGCCTTTTTAAGTAATAGCTTAGTCGGTTGCAACACTTGAAAACAACACTTGAGATAATATATGACAGATTTTATATACTTGTTTTTTGGGCGAACGTATCCCGATTCAAACAGCGTGCTCATTTTTTTAGTCAAGTCAATAGGCCAGGAAATTAGTGTAATCACGAAAAAACTACAAATGTAAGAATAATTTTCAGATATAACATAACATAGTAGGTACAATTTTGTGGCGTTCAAAGCTTTGCCCTCTATTACAAACAGAAAACTACTTATAGTTTGTATTAATCGGCTCAGTTGCGACTGAATAACAGTAAAAAAAACTAATTTAATCATTGGTCCTTCTATAACTTGGAAAGTATCACCGGATTTTGAAGAAATTTTTAAAGGCCTGTCTAATGGTACCAGTGTTATGACCAAAAAACCTAAAAAGGCCCCAAACTGGGTTCTACATTTGTTCCGTTTCTTTTGAACGCAATCAGAAATTTCCTCAGAGGAGACGAAATTCAGAAAGAAGTCAAAGTTTTTGATAAATTTCAAGACGTAGTCAAGAGTTTATTTGAATTAATCAACGATTATGAAATCCGGCAAGACTGCTTTTCCAAATTCTAATCATCAAGTCATTTGTGTATAACTCGAAATACAGCTCGAAGTGTGCAATTCGAAAATAGCGGAATCTGTGTTTAAAAATCGGAAAATCTCTGTCCCAATATGTAAACTAGAAATGCCACAAAACTTATTTAATCAGGCTAACTAGCCAAATGTCAACTCTGTTTTAAAAGAAGATGTACAAAAGGATTTATATATAAAAAAATTTGAATAAAGTCTCTGTAGAACCACTGGGAAAGCGATGAAAATACCTTCAAAATGAGAACTAATGGGTATGTCCAGTTCGTTGCAACTGTTAATAGGTTATTGCAAAAAATTGTTAATTTTTTGCCGAAAGTGTATAAAAGTAGGTAAATATGAAATAGCAGCCGATAGTGATTAACACCAAAAATCTTCGAAAATGCTAAAGCTATCCAGCGACGTAACTGAAGGGTGAGTTTATAATGTGTAATTGGACAATACCTCCATTACTATAAAACATAATTAAAAATGTTATTTATTTAATAATATATGGCCTCCTACAGGGTGACCGTGTAGCGGTAGTAATTGATGCATAATTTTACGTAGGAATCCACCGATGGTACGGACCATATCAGTAAATACTGATCGTGTGACATTCGCTTTCCAAGATCCAAAAGTCGAGGTTCGGATTTGAAACAACCAACATATACCGTGGGATTCAAATTTGACTGACGCCGAAATGTGTAGGAGAGAGAAGCGCGATAAGCGTGCGATGTGTATGTTAGAAAGAGTGCTCCGATGGCTTCCGTGAGCTCGTGCTTGAGTTGATAGGCAACGAGGTGCTTCTATCTCCTTCTAACACACATATTGCATGCTTCTCGCGCTTCTCTCTCGCACACATTGCGACGTCGGTGGTATTTGGTTTTCAGTGTACTTCAGTATACTTTTAGCAAAATTAAGTTTATTTCTAACATAGGTTTTAACTCGTCCAAATAATATCTCATCTAACTGATATTGTTTTAGCTTGTGGAGAACCCTCTATATGAATAATTTGATTTTTGTAAAAATGTTCAGTCCATTTAAGATTTGCCGAGCTAGGGAAAAGAGGTCGTTACTTGTCATACTCATAGTTGATTGTCTGTTGACTTTATTTGGTTATCAGAAAGTGCTTAAAATTGGCAGAATATATATTTTTTCACAATAAATGGGCGATCTCGTATCCATAACGAGCATTTGTTGTAATAAAAAAATAGTCGCAGTAAACGTGGCTAGAAATTAGTGGGCTGTCATGGAGTGTCATTACATGACTGTGTAATAATTTAGGCGTTCTAAAAATGATGTTACACACTATTCTAGAGTAAAATTTTATCTGTCAATCTTCATTCCATTACTGTGTAAGATATTACATTACCAAGTGATTTACAAGCGCACCCCAGTGAAGATATAAATGAAACAGAACATAGCTCAAACAATGAACTCACTTTGAGCGCTACCGGAGCAGTCACCCCTCATTCTTCGAACAGTTTTGGAGGTAGGTACGCTTTCACACAAAATTATCTCTTGCCGATGGGTGGTCCTTTCCTTCCTCTGAAAAAAACTCCTGCGAGCGCACATGATCGAAAATATGGAGATCATCTAGCGGGGATGACGATCGGCGGTTCACATATACCCTATTTCACGGATATCCATCACGCTTTGACGTCTACAGATGTGAACAGCTGATCAGCAATTAACATCTTTGTATTGGTCTGTAATGTTGGCGATAATGAATCGGGTGTAAGTCTATTAAAACTTGTTTGTAGCGTTTTGTTTTTTGTATACAAATGAACTTTTCTAAATAAAACAGCTATTAGCAAGTAAAAAATGAATCTGTAGCGTACAAAAAACGTAAACAAAATATAGCACTGTCTACCTGGCATTGACGGATCCGTCAGATTATGTGTCCTTTGCCGATATGGGGTACTTTGAAGATAAATGTACGGGGAAATCTATGCCGCATAAGATATGTCTAGAAGGTGCCGCGGCTTGGGGCTCATAAGTATACTAATGTCAAAAAGTTTAAGTGCGTCTACAACACCCAACTCCAATTTTCTACATCTTAAAACTTCAGAAATGATCAGGATTCTCTGAAATTTCAAAAAACTAAGTTAAAGCGATTTTATTTTTTACTTTCTTTGCCCCTAGATCCGACGCCACTGGATCGATTTTCAGAAGCTATAAAGCTTTTTCGTCCTGGTCATAGTAGTAACCGTATTTGAAAATTTCATCAAAATCCGACCAGTTTTTCCCACGTTATAGGGGGGTCAATGATTAGCAGATCGATAGACAGACATACAGACCGACGGAAATGAATGACATGGGTTTTCGTGATATACATGTCATATATCATTCAAAAGACATAATATCTCATTTTCTTAATGTTTCTTTATTACAATACTTCCTCGCCAATGGCGTGGGAAGTAAAAAGTGGTTTTTAATGACACTGATATTGATCTAACAGGACCACATCTCGTCAATAACGGCAGCCGCTGGGAAAAAGCTAAGCTATTTACTTAGGGCTGAGAAGTACTTTTCTCTACATGACCTCCTCACTCTGTACAAGGTCCAGATAAGACTTGCCAAGAGTACTGCTCACATATTTGAGATACTGCCACCCCGACTACATTATCCATGCTTGATGTTGTTCAGAGGAGAACTCCCCGATTAATCGATGACTCTTCTCTAACGGACAGTCTCGGGATCATTTCGTACCGGCAGTCCATCAGCAATTTAGTTCTCTTCTTATAGTTCTCCTCCATGATGCTGGCTCACGATGTGTCTGCCAGACAGACCAGCCTGACTTCGGCCTTCCATCCAACTTCGTACATCCAAAACTGGCCAATTCGACCGCTTCTATGTCCCTATGGTATCGAGATTGTTGAACAATCTGTATGAGAAGGATGTTCAAAAATCGGATTAACAAAGTTTATTTAAGTTCCACATAACAGAAGCGATGCTCTGGCATTATTGTATAGTTTTTTTTGACATTATGTAGGTTTTCATATAATATGTCCATTGAACTAGCTGACATTTACTTCATGCTTACTTGCACTAGGCGTGGAAATCAAATCCTAGTGCACAACTTCACATTTTATCGAGTTTTTACGTAATAATCACTGTAATGCTCAACGTGCGTTATTTTGCAGTGCGATAATTTGAGGCCTGTGTGTACCGGCAGCCCATCTCTTTCCGAGATACGTAGAGTCGAAGAATCAAGTGCTTGGTGGACGACTAATCTCACTGCTTCCCCTACCTAGTGTCCTTTTTACCTGCCACTTATGTCAAACTGAATCACTGTCTAACATTTTTCAGTGGAATTTTTTGCTTCTTTGTACAATTATTTTCTCATTTACAAAAAATTGTGCTCAAATGAATTCATTCGTTTCACATGTGATCATTGCAACGCCAAAATGAAAATACATTGGAGATCCTTGATTGTCTTTGGCATCACTTTCTGGGCGGTCCTCTGTTTAAATGATTTCTTTGGGGGAATGCCAAGATATCATTCTTGTGAGCGTAAGTATATAGTATTGTTCGGTTTATCATTTCTGGTGTCAGCTCCCAGCGAAGTGGCTTGCAGTGACTAGTTCTTATTTTTAACGTGCCTAAAGCTCAGGGTCGTATACACGTGTTCGGTGAGGACTGCGTGTCGTTTGAGGAATGAACTCCTCTTCGATCTTAAGCCAACAATAACGCTTCCCTGAGGAACGTTCGAGGGGATTTAACATTTGCCTTTTAATCCAGTCTTATTAGGGGTTTCACCTAGTAACGAGAGATAATAAGCTGTAAACTCTATTTTGTCATTCTAAAAGTGATCCTACAATTTTAGAAAATATCATATTCTCGTCTTAAGATTTCAAAAGTTAAATGTATCAAAAATCGGTTTTGTGAAAAGATCTCGCTTCCTATGCGTTTAATGTTATTTGTTTTCATTATAAATATTGTTTAGAATGAGATTCTCTACAAGTTTTTTTTCAAACATTTTTTCATACTTCTCGCTCTGCTCTCTCGTACACATTGAACTCAAGCCGTCAGACAAATTTAGTTTTCCCTATATATGCACCGTTTTCCTATGCTTCATGGGTCGGCAGTAGCGAAAGGAGGTATGACACAAACTTGATACTTAGTTTTACTTCCCACGTCCAAAATATTTGAATTCCATATATTCTTGACGTTTCATAGTATGGATTCAGCACGATTCCTTAAAGATCATGACCCCTAGGTACTTGAGAACTGTATGATTGAGGATTTAACAAAATTGTGACAGAAGATAATATCAATAACTGTGCTATCTGTATGTTGATTTTAGCGGATGCATGAGAGCATAAGAATCTGAAAGCCGTAATATAATGTAAGATTTGAAACTTTTACTGAGGTTTTCATTCTGATAGTGGTCGAAATGGCAGTGAATTATCTATTACAGATGTCGTTTCATTTAGCGACCAGAAAAATATGGAATTTTATAAGCCCTAATAAAGTTATATAAGACCTTTAACATATTTCCAACAGTGACGCTTATTCCTCTTTATTGTGTATTCCTTGGTCTTGAAAGTCTCTTATTCGACAGAGTATAGCTAGAATTTTATTATCTTGTACCATTTCAATTATTCATTCGTATAATTCATTATCAAATATTAATAAAGAATAATTCTTCCTCGAAGTACAACAAGATAGAGAAGCGTTATCCATTCTGGACAAAGGCATTTATGAGAACATTGACGACGTGAAACGCTTCATGAAAGAAACCCAGTTTGGACAAAGAGTTTACAAGTTTGGATGGACCCTGCTGCTATGGAACACTGTGACGTTTATGTTTTGTATATCATTTTGTTTTTGTGCGAAAACATTGTCGTGGGTTGTGTTGAAGATGTTCATACCGAGAAGGTAAGTTCTGTCACAGATTGATCTATTGATTTCGGCAAAATATTTTAACTATTCGATAACGAATTCTCCAAGATGCCCAACCACACCATGTATTTATATTTCATCGTTGCAGTTATTTTGTCAAGTCGAATAGTAATGAGTCCCCTAGACGCAGTAAATACAAACTTCCATTTCAAAGAAAATTTTAAAATTCCTAAACATGCCATCAACATTCCAAGGAAAGATCATTCCTCAACTTTCCGGGTCGTTATTCCTAAGATTTCGTATAGAATGTATTAACGATATAAAGAAATATCCTATACGGTGATCGATATCGATTGGATTGGGTATATCGTCTGGTGGCATATGTTAATCAATACTTGTGTCTATTTAAGAAAAAGCTGCTGCGAGGGGTGATTGGGCGACAGTGGTAGAGTGTCAGCGGTAGCGTTAAGCCGGTCCCAGACACTACGAGCTTCGCCGAACATTCCGTATTCGTCTAACCTCGTGGAGCGTGTGGGAAAGTGGCTTCGCCCCGCCTTCGCACTTCGTGGTAGTACGTAGTCAGGGCCGTATGCTCCGCTGTTCGATTTTCGTCCGTCGGCGCGCATTACGTCACGCGGAGAGTGATTATCATTTGGGTTGATATGGATAACGTGCATATTTTCACCTACAGGCCAAACGGCTGAACGGATTTTCACATATGAGGTGTCGTTGGATTCGTCTTAGCGATGCGAGTGACACTAGCTACATTGAAATTTTATAAAAAAGAAAATGGTGGATTTTAATAAAATATTTCAACCTTGTAATTCCTATTTCACAGGCTATAGCTTAAACGGCTTCTAGCTCCACAATAGAGCGTATCGTCTCTTCACAAGACAAGATAACTACATTCATTTACTTACATACATTTTCTACATTACCTATATTTCAGTATATTCTGCGGAGCAGGATTAACATGTTCATGTCATAATACTGTACTACATTTATCATTATTCCACAGAACATCCTAAGTACATGTAAGTGTCAAAATGTTCGCAACTCCAAAAGTAGAAAAATGGAGTTACCTTCTTTTTGCAGTAAAGTGGTAGTATAACAATAAATGGAAATGACTTAGTCTAAGCAACAATTTTTTCCATTTCCTTTTACGATTTTTCTGGTCTTTCAAACTTCTATTCAGTTCTTTGATCCGGAAGAACATCCTTGACCTGAAAAACAGTTTTTTAGCTTCTTCAGGGCAGTCAATGTTGCTGCTCTCCAACAGAAGTTCACCTATAAAATTTTTCTTTTTTGTCACTATTCCGTCCCCATTGAATGTAGTGAACACCTTGTTCAGCTTCTCAATTTGATTCACGAAAGTTGCGGAAGGTTTTGATAATCCACCCTCACTAAGATGGTCTATCCATGAATAAGTTTCATTTGAGGAACTTTTCAACCTCTCATCCTGCAATTTATTGCAAACAAAGCCGGCCAAATTTTTCTATTTCTTCCACTAAACCTTGCTCGGTATAGTCAGCTGATACTTCAGGTGCATTCAGTTTATTCTCGTTAATGATGCAGGTAGTGGTTAGTGGAATGTCTTCAGTATCCTCTGACTCTACGCTGCAATAGGTACTCTGAGTAAGCGCCTTCGTTTCGCCCCAACATATATGGCCTTATTCTACGTATACTTAAACTCTAGAGGACTTGTATGGCCATGAAGACCATCTTTTGCCCTAATTACTCCGAAAAAGTTTATTAAGACGTCTTGTTAACAGGTATAGGACGCTGAAGCGTCATTTCAGATCCTCTAGAGCATTTTCTAGCAAACCCTGGCGCTTTTTACATTGACTTTGTTTTATCTTTTTGTGACATGTAGCCATTTTTTTGCTAAAGTTTGGGTCTTGAGGAAAACTGTGGAACTTCATGCCTTTGCAAAGATTCCGTTTAGACTGATTGTCGTCGGAATTACATCCCACAGCAGCACATCGCATTTTTATCAATTTATCAACCACACAGGGTATATAAGGTATGTATAACTAATACAACAAGTCACAAAACCACCAGAAAACACCATCAAATCACACTATATAGTATTAACCACGATACACGTAAACTGCAGTAACGTTACGACAATCCTGCCGCTGCTAACCAGGAGCCGATAACTCTCCGGGTGACGTCACGAAGCTCCGCCCACATGCGCAATGTCCTATCTTCAGTGTATGTGTATCGTGGTACGTATTTGTTCCTGCTGATTGTCGGTAAAATACACATAAAATAGTCCGAAGCAAAGGACGCGAATTTCGGTGGACTGTGTTCGGTGGCAGCTCACTCAAACTTCGCTGCTCCTTCGTTATATTTTGTCTGATCAGTGCAATGTCAATTTGTGCTTGAGTGAGTAGTAATGGAGTGGAACAACGATCTGTTTAACGAATTTTCTTTAATACACTGTTCATCCTCGCAACTCTTCGTACCTTAAAAAGTTGAAAGTAAAACCTAGTTTAACAAAATGGCATCAAGTAGAATGACTCTATACTTCCCGCGCTTTGATGACCGGTGTCACGGACAAAAAATAAGATTGAGCGCTTTTCATTTTTTTAATTCGTTTTTAGACGATAACAGTCGCAACTGCACCATAAAACTACAAAGCATCCCTGCTATATTACTAAACTGGGTGGAAATTTTATCAACTTTCGAATAGTACTTTCCGAGTTATAGAGGGGCCAAGGATTACCGGACAGACACACACACCGACAGACGACAGACAGACAGACAGCCTGCAGAAAATGAGTTATATGGTTTTTCGTAATGTACGTGTCATGAAACATCAAAAAAAATGATATCTCGATTTCGAAATTTTTCGCGATTACAATACTCTTCCGCCAATTGGCGCGGGAAGTAAACTAAAAAGTAGGCTTTAAAAATAGTTATTAGAAGCAATCTGTTTTTCAAGAAGCTAGCAAACAAATAGAACAAACATTTTAACTTCACGTACTTTTGACGACTTTTATTTAAAGATAGCATCCACCATCTTCTTTTTCGACGTTTAAACTTTTTTTCTTTTAACCAAGAACATTACATAATTATGGAAGCTGCAGCAACAGGACCTGCTCGTCTCGTCTGCGCCTATGTTCATTTTAAAACTAAAATCGAGGCTTTGCAGAACATTTGTTATATGCCGAAATACGAATTGGTATGGGAAGTCAACGCGAACTTGAAATATGTGCTTCGCCGAAGTACGAAGCTTCGTTATTCGCCGAAGAACGTAGTATCTGGGATCGGCTTTAGACGGCTGTATAAGTTTTTGACAGTCTTTTGACATAAATATGAGATCGTAACATCAAGCTCACTTGAGCTGTGGTACTAACGAATTTATTTGAGACTACGTCCTAGATACCAAGTATATTCTGGATTTCCATGTTTTTCTTCAAAAGGAAAAGATCTTAACCTATCATAGCTGTACAACTGAAATTTTCAAAATTTACCGTTTATCTCTATACTTCTGCCCTCCGGAAAACTCAAAATTGGATCTTCCTAAATTTTCATTAATTGTAACGCCACGTTCATCCCAAATGAGACCCAAAATACTCATGAAGCAGTATCAAACCAGACAGTTCTCGACTAAGGGCCGTATCGTCAGTCGTTCCTACAATTATTGCAGGGCGCCTCTACGGCCTCGTTGATTTTCACAGATTTCTACTATTCCGTGTCAGCGCTCCATTTTGTGGTTATGTTACAAATATCTATTTACATCAAATTGTTCATTCTTTTCATTTATATCATCTGTTATATCAACCCTAAATTTCCTACAATTCAAAAAGAAAACATAGCCTCACAATAGGAGAGCGCTGACGCTGACACGGAACAGTAGAATCGAGAAATACCCAACCTTTGTAAAGGAGGAAAAATACTATCAAAATCGAGCAGGCCATAAGTGAATTGTAGGAACGACTGACGATACGGCCCTAAGAGGATCCATTCTGCGCTCTACTCAGTTATACTCATTTCTACCAGGAACATTTCTAGCTAAGGTTCCAAGCCAGTAAGCCAGTAAGTATTTTTATTTGAGGAATCCCTGCTTTTGAGCACCGACAAGCAGGGTTGCCTTATACAGTGCTTTTCTTTAATGTCCCCCTCTCCTTTGATCTTTGAGCGGATAAATTCAAAAAATTAAAACTTGAGGTAATGAAATTGCTACGTGGATACCATATTTTAGAGTAAAATTGACAGATGAAAATGTCAAGATGGCAGCTGGGCGCCATCTTGGAAAAAAATTATATGAAAATGGGGGTCTTGTGGCACATCATTTTGAAGCTGCTGACAGGTACCTTATAATCCTAGAGTATAAAGTCAATACCTTTACCTACTAAAAAATGGTGGTACATTTAATAATTACCTGAATACATTGACCTTTAACTTGATAATTCGAATAAATACTCTGAGTTCAGTTTAGAAGATGCTGGAAATGGTTGCCTTGAGCTTCTTGACACAATAACAGCCGCTCCGTAATTTCGCGTCGAACATTATCAAACATAGTAACATCGATATTTCTACAAATATTTGTTATTCTCACCTTTTGCTTCAAATAGCTCCAAAAAAAAAGTCTAAAGGTGTCAAATCTGGCGAGCGAGCTGGTCATTCCACAGGACCTACGGCCAATCTAACGACCGGAGAAATTGTTATCTAAATAATTCCTAACTTGTTTGGAGTAGTGTGGTCGAGCACCATCTTGCTGGAATACAATATCATTATCGAATTCATTAGGATTCGCTTCCATGATTTCGATGACTAAAGGGTCAATAGTATTTTCCAGCATATCCAAATACAGCTCCCCGGTTAAAGTTTGTTCTATGAATAGAGGCCCCACAATATGATTTCCCAATACCCCAGCCCAAACGTTATTTTTTTGTGGATATTATGAGTTTCCCGGGAGACGTGAGGACTGGTGTCACTCCAATAACGACAATTTTGTCTATGCACAATACCGTTGAGAAAAAATGTACATTCATCACTAAAACAAATATTTTGGATATAGGTAGGATGCTGTGCAATGGTTTCCGTCATAGTCTCGCAGAATTCTGTTCTTCGATCAGGGTCATCTTCAGTCAGCTGATGTACCACTTGAATGTTGTATGGGTGATACTTATTCTTTTTCAAAAGTCTCCATACAGTTGAAGGAAAACCTCACATACATTCGCGATGGAGGAAGTAGACTGTTAGGGATTTACTATGATCCCACCAATTAATTGAACTTGCTTTTCTTCCGGGATGGTCGGATGACCTGGGGGCTTTTTGCTGTTCACACTACCAGTAGCTGTAAATTTAGATACAAATTCCCTTAAATATTTTCTACAGATAGGACGATTCGGGAAACGATGATTAAAAATCCTTTTGGTCTCGTGAAAGTTACGCGTCGCACCATAAATAAAAATCGCTTTGATTTATTTCTTCCAACGAACCATTTTAAAAATAGTTCAAACAGTATCTGGCACTAAAACCGAAAACTAAATAAGAATATTTTAACTGTCAACAAAAAATAACAAAACAAGTTTTTATCGCTGTTGCTGTGGATACGGCAGGGAACTACAATTATTTGTAGAGATATGCAGTTTAGTGGGTTTGTGTTCACGTAATTATTAAATGTACCACGATTTTGTAGTAGGTAAAGGTATTGACTTTGAATTCTAGGGTTATAAAGTACTCGTCAGGAGCTTCAAAATGATGTGGCACAAGATCCCCGTTTTTATATAATTTTTTTTCAAGATGGCGCCCAGCGGCCATCTTGACATTTTCATCTGTCAATTTTACTCTAAAATATGGTATCCACGCATCAATTTCATTACCTCAAGTTTTAATTCTTTGAATTTATCCGTTCAAAATATCAAAGGGGAGTGGGACATTAAAGAAAACCACACTGTATGTGTGTTCAAGTCAAAATCTACTAAATTGTGTAGAATATCCAAAAAGTTAAAATAATAAATATTGCTACCGTAATCACTATCCAGACCCTCCCTCATCCAATATGTCGTCAAAAATAAGCAAGGCGACGACCAAAGCCCTACTGCCCGTTCTCCTTTAGTGCTTACGTAATTCGTGAATGGTCCCTCATGGAACGTCCGTAAGTATATCAGTCTCTGTAATACACGATTATCATCTAGTACTGAGCCATCCGCACTCTTAATGATGTCTGACATTTACGGTAGTGATATCATAGTGAAAAGAATTCCGTTGTCCACTGTTTAACGCTAAGATGCTTTACCAAGTGCTTTGATTACTTTAAATTCTTAAGTTTTGGTGCTTTCAGGAGCAGTCAACGAATATTACAAATGACCGCGTTCTCACCGTTAACACAACGTAGCAACTCCAGCCTCAGTAAAATTCCAGTAAAAGTTGGACAGTTATCTGGTAGATCCTCTGATACTAGTATACACATAAAGCCCAGGATGAATCAGGATGCTAGTTGTCCAAATTTACTCGCAAATAAACCAAGAAGAAACTCTAGTACAGGTGAGGCATTCCTCCTTCAATGTTCAATTAATATATGATCCGCACTATTTTGCGACGGTCGTAATAAGGATTCCGCAGATTTATTGCGTAAGAAACCTAAATAATGTCAAAAAACCGAGCAAAATATCAACTTGCTGACTAGATAGTTCCTAGTGTGCAAATAGTTCATTCTGCGTTTGCTCGCTATTAGCGCTGTGAGCGTCACAAAAAGCGTTATGTATGGACGAATGGCTCAACGACACGACGCGCTCAATGATCATGTTGTAAGTCAGTTGTCAGTTCCATAGCATGCTTTTTGGTTGCAGAATGCCGAGATAGTCTGTAGGGTATATCTCAGGGAAGATGTGACAGAAACTTACAGACCTTGTATTACTGTATGTCGTGGTGTAAAACTTTCGTTGCGTGACCTAAATCGTGAGATGTGCGCTCCCCATAAGCCATTTCCCACCACCCACTATCCAGTTGTCACATGGACATTTGCACTAAGAAGCGATACTCAAGTCCTGAAGCATGCAGCCGCCACCCGGCCCCCGCTCTTCAATTTTCAATCGTTGATTGTGATTTATAAATTTTATTAAAACAGAAGTTATTGTCAAAACCTGTAATGTCACTTAGCTATGCGCTACGCGGAATTTTACATGATTTAGTTTAGTAACAAAAGAGAAATATTTGCTAGCCTCAGATTGCTTTTTTGACCAAGCGTCGGTGTATTTGACATGATTGCCATTTTTATCTGGACCATCGAATCCCCACAGGTTAGAAGGAGCCAAGCCTATATATTTATATTGCATTGTCTATCAGCAAAATTGCGTAGTTTTAGTGCTTTTGACTCATTTATCTACTACTGCCTACCAAAGTGACAGCGATATATCAACATAATAATAATTACCAGTGGAAACATCTATTTTCATTGGGATTGTGCTGCCCCTTACAAATTATACATATAAGAAGTATCATGTCTTGAAATCGTCTGGCACCTCAATTAACTGAAAACTCGCTCATCTAAAAACCAACATTAAATGTACGAATTTAATGACAGAGCTGGTGAAAAAATTGACTTATGTGAAGTGCACTTTGATTTTCACTGCAGACTATGATATCAGGGGAAAAACAAAATTTTAGCCGGCTCCTTCCACCTGAATTAGTTGTTCTGGACAGACTTGCCTTAACTTGCTTATTACATTTCTTGTAGGTTTTCAACACTGCTGCTCCAACTGACGTTTTCTACCAATATATTGCATTATTTATGGAATTTTTCTTATCAGAGTGCTCTGCTGGACACTTTAGTGCAATTTTCTCTGTCGTCCTGTGTTTCACGAGAAAAATTATTGCAAAATGTTTTTATATCAGGTGTATTTGTGCACAGAGAACATCTAAGGTGCACACGTCGAGATACTAAGATTCCTTTTGACTATTTTTACATCTTATTCAAAGCTAGTGGTCTGGAACGGGAACTGGGAGCAGTCGAATATAAAATAATATAAACTATTTCAAGGGACAAAACACGACGGAGAAGTACTTTTGTCCGACTATCAATGATTTTTGAGTATACGACCGGAACTTTAGAAATCCCACTAACAACACTTGCATTTGAATACTTGTGCTGAGTGGAGTTGGGATTGCTAGCTGCTTTCGTTCAATTTTGCACCTCTTAAAACGTGTCTTCCAATAAACTCATATATGATATAATATTACTCAGGATTGATAGTTTTCAATGTTGCCGGTATAGAGTATGTGCAACGACTGCCTCTTTTTTTATGCTCATACTAGTGATGTAATGAATATCAATGTTTAGGCAGTCGTGAACGCGAATAGGAATATCTACTGCCGATATTCGTGAATATCTTGTTCTCTATGCACCACATCGAAATAGCGGCGGGGAGAGGGGGCTTTCTTAGTGCTACTGAGACACGAATTGAATTTCCTGCGCGTGATCTGTTGGAAGGAACTCTCCCTCAGCCACCCCCGGGGATACGCCACTGAGTTTACGCCACAAAAACCAAGAACTTGTTTATCCAATAAGGTCTCAATGAAAGACATATATGGAAATATCTAAATATTAAGGGTTACTTGCAAATACCTAGGAATAATAATGAAAATTGTGGACGAACAAGCTATATAATAAAACGCGAGCTGCGTGTGCCCCACAGTAGGGCGTGGGAGATACCCAACCTACTATTTACACTTGGCTATAACGGAATATTGAAGAATGCGACGCCATTGAGACCTTTTATCATTCTATGACATCTCGCACTTTGACAGCATCGTTTCATTGTTGGTGCGGCCACAACCACTAGTGAACATTTTTGTTACTTTGTCACTCTAGAGCGATGAATGTGTCATTTGCGCCACAACCACTAGTGAACATTTTTGTTACTTTGTCACTCTAGAGCGATGAATGTGTCATTTGCGCTCTGTCCTTGGAAAAGGTTTATTTTACGTACTCGGCCACGATCAATAATACATACCCTTCTGGACGGCTGCATAAAAAGTTTTGAGTAAATGTTCTGTGACGTTAATCATTTTAGCTTATAGTGCTCGACTTTGCGTATCCTTTTACGGGTTTGACGGATCACTATGAAGCTACAGGAATTATTTTTATATATCAATTTCCCTCACATATAGATATGCAATCGGCATCTATGCGTGGACAATTGTTTATGTAAGCTCACAGACATACGTTTTCTAGTCTCATTGCCTTGAAAATTTTCTCGGCAAGGTATGAGTCTTCCACATTTACGCATCTCACTGTCAGTGTGATAACCTGCTTGTCATGGGCGTGTGAATTACGTTGATATAAAACCGCATTTATCGGTAAACTGCCGATATTCGTGAATCTCTTCTTCTCTATGCACCACATCGAAATATACTTGAAGGAGAGAAGACAGTGAAGCTTCTACCTTGATATTCCTCTTATTAGTTCAGCTAGTTTGCAAGAAAAGCATTTCATTTCCACAGGAAGCTACAGAAAAGAAATTTCGTTTTTATTTGTATTTTCTATTTGTAAGAGATTTATAATCAAAGACTGATAAAAGCAACAAATAATATGTTTTTGTTATGTAGTTATTATTCCATAATTGCAGGTGTATTCGTTTCACACACCATCTGACTGCAGTTTCCACAGTTTATTACACGTTATTTTGACGATAACTCAGTTTACCTAACCTCAGCTGGGTAAAACTTGTTTTCACAGCGTTTCTTATGTTTTTCGTGCAAAATCCACCGAGTTCAAATTGTGAGATTTTGTTTAGAATTATATTTTTGCGGCGATCCATGACAGCAAACTTTTGACTGAGCCACACACACATTCACTGATTTGATAGCCTCACCGCTATTTGGACTGTCTCAGTAGTTCACTAATAAAATGAATGAAACTTATGTTATGTGCATAACACCAAGGAAAGAATATGTGAAGAGTAAAGATTTTGTTTGACTATAACAACATGCTTTCCTAGCAAAAAGATAATCTGATATAACTTGATTAAAGTTCGGACATTTTCACTTTCTGTTTTTCTGATATACGTTCGCATGAATTTCACGAATGCGGATGATAATGCGAATATCAAGAAACATGCGAATATTCGTGAATGCCTTCTAGTCCATGCACCATGGCGGGTATCAACCACCACCAGCAGTGCATCAGTCGACACCGTTCTGTTAGCACAGCACTACGTTTCGCTGGCTTCTGAACATTAGTTGTCTGTTGGATTGTTCGTACAGTAGCCGCACTCTTGTCGGTGACTGTAGTGCAGATCCGGTCGTTTGAATTCCGTTTACATAGCATAGCAGATTGAACGGAATTCATATGGCCGGATCTTAGACTACAATCACCGACAAGTGACCAACTACTGTATGGAAAAACCATGAATTTCTGTTTCGTCGTTGCCTTGTTGTAGGTAGGAGCCCCGTACAGCATAGCCCCTGCCGCTTCTGCCAAAATCCTACGCCTCTCACTGCTAGATGACATCGGTTGTGTCAGGGACTTTATTTGCATAATAAATGGTGAGTCTTATGTGCGTCATTTTCAGATCTTTATCAAGCTACAGATACTCGATCGCATTTTGGCTTCGTACCTCGGCATTCTCAACCCAAACAGTTAATGATGTTAGCTTCTGTCTGCCAGAAAGTATCACCACTTCCACCTTCTCAAGAGCTGATTCCAATCCATTTTCGTCAATCCAAATGGTAATCCTCCTGGCTCCATATGCAAAAAGCCTTTCTAGCGTACTTCTTTCCTTGTTAATCACTCTCATCGACAGGTCGTCAACATCCGATTGCAAGGTTCATACGATTGTAGCTACCGCTACCGGTGCTTTCAACAGTTGCACTGCTGGACCCACTACGTCTATGGTAGACTTTGCCTTTCTAAACCCATATTGAATGAGAGTCTGTTCTTCTAGCCGTATTTTCTTAACCTGCTTTGTGTCATCCATTGTCGTACCGTCCCCAGTGAACACAGCATACGCAGAGGTTTATATTTAACCTCCTTATCGGTGGGTATCAGATGTTTTGAGGGTAGGCATTTGTATTCAAACACAATTGGTCTAAACAAATATCGTGACCAGTTGTGCATTGCGTTTTTGTGTTTGTAGTTCGTTTGGAGTAGCAATGTTGGATGCCTTCTAGGAGAGCTGCATTTATAAAAGGAGACAAGCAAGCTGATAGTACACAAGGGCTCTTTTTGGGCAAGTAGATACTGCTAGAATATTATATACCAAATCAAAGAGCGTTTCTTTCAATCAGGGCTTTTAGGAGCCGGCATAGCAAATTTTTACTTCGTCTTCTTATTCATAAGTACGAGTACATATTTCGTGATTTCATCCACAGACTCAAAACATCAAGACTGTCAGTTGCTCATTTGCTTTTGCTGAGAATGCGAAAGCAACACAATCAAAATTGAAACCGGGTTGAAGTCAAGTGTTTCCGTCGGTCTGGTTTTAGTGAGAACAGTGTCTTACCAATCACTATATAATTCCCCTAACAGCCAATTCCCAAGTCTTCTACGATATAATGGAAACAGTGCCTATAAGACCTCAATGTCAGACCATCTACAAAAATGATCGAATATTCCCTTGCAATGACAATGAGAGGAGATTTGATAAGCATCTGGAGAATCAATGTGCGAAGCTAAGAGAAGAGATGGCTAAATTGCAAGCGACTTCGTTAAAAGAACATGCAGTCCTGTCCAGGAAACTAGATGCCATTACAAAGGAAAAGAAAGACATAGCAAAACTATTGACCACCGTGCAAAAGGAAAACAGAGCTGCTAAGCAGCAATTAGAAGAATTGATGCAAGAAAAGGTATAGAAAGTGTTCCTTTTTCTTATTTATACCGAAGCAGCCGCGCAGGCAGAAGCCTGAATGCCGGGACCCCGCGGCTGCCATGAGGATCCCAAAGAAATTTTGTTAGTCCGATTTTTGTTGCCTAAGCTTAGTAGAACTGGGAAAGGCTTCCTCTTGTAAATTGTTCCACAATCTCGACAAAAGGGTCCCGAGACTACCTGTTAGAGAAGATTCGTCGATCAATCGGACAGCCCTCCTCTGGACAGCATCGAGCATAACTAGTGTAGTCGGGGCGGCAGCACCCCAAACGTGCGAGCAATGCTCGATGCTAGGCCTTATCTGGACCTTGTATATACGAGTAGTCAGAAGGTCATGGAGAGAAAAGTACTTCTTAGCCCTAAACAAACAACCTAGCTTTTCCCAGCAGCTGCCGCTATTGACGAGATGTGTTCGTGCCAGATCAAGTCCTCGGTGATCTGGACTCCGACCAGCCGAAGTAAATGGCTCTTTGACACAACTCGGCCATTCATCGAAATGGGATGAACGCTAGGATTGTTGCGTCCCCAAGCAGAGATAACCTCCAGGTCTCTCGTCAGAGAGGAAGTCATCGCTAGTCCTCCTTTTTCTAGCTCAGCGGCACTGATCGGTTTGTCACTCTGACTTGTTTTGATCGTACAGAAAAGGAGGTCATTGGCATGTGAGAGAAACAGTGCCGAAGGCAAGACCGATCCCTGGGGAAGACCCGCGTTGACGTTGTGGGATGAAGAGGAGAACCCATCAAATACGACGGATATCATGTAGCCAGAGAGAAAGTCAGCCACCCATCTGCCAAGCTTTTCCAGGAGGCCATACGATGGAAATTTGCATAAGAGGGCAGCGTGCCACAGCTGATTGAATGCTTTCGTGATATCAAGGGCAACGACATGAGTCTCAGCATAAGACTGGATAAGTTTACTCTACAATTGCGTGACGTAAGTTAGGATGTCCCCTGTGGTTCGCTGGTGCCGGAAACCATACTGACTGTCGCTAGTCAAGCTGTGACGTTCGAGGTAGTCCAGTAGCTCGAGATTTATGCACCTCTCCATCACCTTACTTATAACAGAAAGCAGAGCTATAGGCCTGTAGTTGTAAGGGTCGGTCTTAGATGCTGTTTTGGGATGGGCTGGACATGAGCAAATTTCCAGTTTCCATAAGATATCTGAAAGAGACGCGAAAGAACTGGAGGAAGCTCCGCTGCGCAACTCTTCAGTACAATGGCAGGAATTAGGTCTGGACCAGAAGCTTTGTTGATGTCGAGCGACAAGAGCACCGTCTTACGATCTTATGCCTAAATGTTACTTCCCGCATAGTGTAGGGAACCCCTTGAATCGACGGCACTTGGGCATTGGACGTCCGTGGTGGAATTGGCAGCAAAGATCTTGGCAAGCACTTCCGCTTTGGCCTTTGTGTCTGTTACAATCGTTCTATCGTGACACGTAAGTGGTGGAAGGCTACTGTGCGAGAAGTTCCTTTCAATCTGCTTGGCCAGCTTCCAAAAAGACCAACTGCCATTGCGCTGCGACACTACCCTGTGCCTAACTTGTATATCGTGCTGGTCTTTGGCATTGCGAACCGCTTCGTTATATTTGCTTCTGGACTCGATGTCGGCTTGTCTGTTCTCTACAGTGGGGTTTTGTAAGAAGGTTCTGTGTGCCTTGATCTTCTGCTGGCGAGCAGTGTCACACGATTTGTTGAACCAACCGTTGGACCCTGGCTTAGGCACTTTCACTGTATGAGGGGTGTATTCCTCAATCCCGACGTGGAAAATTTCGGTTATCGAAGGACAGCCGACGCATCCGCGTCAGCGAAACAAACATCTCTCCAAGGAAAGGTAGAAAAGAAGTCTCTGAGCCCCTCCCAGTCGGCATGTCCGTAATGCCAAATTTTGTGACCTGGGCGAGTTCTGCTGCCACAGCGTTCTGACCGAAAACTAACCTCCACAGCACCGTGGACAGGACACTAGTGCTGTAGGGGACAGGATGCGTGGTCAGGAAGAGACCCATCCCTCAGTAAGAGCGAACGCTTCAACTGCACAACCTGCTGCAGTGGTCTTGTTTGAGCCCAACCAAAGCTCATTATGGGCATTGAAATCACCGAGGAGAACTACCTCTGAAGCGGGGTGATTTATGTTCAGTAAATCGATCTTGACGGCGAGGTATTCAAGTAAGTCATCTCAGTTTTGGCCCGAGGGAGAGCGTTAAAGACAGCAAATAAATTTGGGGGATGTTTTGGAGTTGCGGCGAAACCACATAATGTCTTTCCGAACTGACTCCAGAGAAGCGTCTCTGTAGCATGAAAGACTGTTGTGGACAAAAGCTACAACTCCCCCGTTCTTTCTCAGACTGGAGTGCACGTCGTAATTTGGGAAGCTAAGATCGCTTATCGCTGCAGACTCTGAGATGTTTGTCTCCGTCAATAAAAACATGGCGGGACGATTAGATTGCAAGTAGTGATGAACAGCATCAATGTTGCTGTTAATCCCGCAGATCTTCGTGAAACAAATTTTATCTTCGATGTTCTTCTCCCGAGTCCACCCTCCACCCGGACATTCCGAGAGTGGAGTGAGTCATCCGGAATTCTTGGTACTCGAGGGATCCAGCATCATTAATTTCTTTGTTGGGGAATATAACTGACTGCGTAGCTTTGGTGTGGAAACATGCGGACATTTATAAGACACCCTGGGAAAAGCTAGCGGGTGGTACCACCTGGGTCGAATGGCCCTTGTATGGCACCTTCTTATTGCGTGTTAATGATGTTAAATAGACCTAATGTGGCCCGTTAGGGTCCTGCTGTCTTGTTCTGGTCAGCGTCCTTAGACCAGCTTCCTTTACCACGGCTCAAGGAGCCCGGTCTACCCCTTGGCAGCCGCCCACCTTGGAACAGACGCTGTCAGAAACCTTGCGCAGGATGATTCCTGCTATCGGGATTGGTTATCCGATTTTGGTAAATCATTCCGAAGAGACAACGGGGGTGCACCACCGAGAAGGTGAGGTTGGCAGTTGTGTATGAGAGGCTATATCTTCTGCATCAATACACCTTACACCCCAAATAAGATGTCAATCTCTCTCGAGAGAGCATATCCCTAAGAATAACGTTATAAGTTCCTATAAAGGTCTGCTTTGGTTCAGCTCATAGATGTCATACCAAAGAGCTGAAAAACACTGGCAATAACTACAATCCGCCAAAGTATTTCCAGACAGCGCTAAGGTTCTGTTGCTGATTTCATTGATAAATCGCGCATTTTACCAGTGACATTGAGTGGCACTACTGATCTTGGTTGGCGTACTTCTGACAAAACCCGATCAGACTGATGGAGATCAAAAGAGTCAGTCAACTGTGGTCAAGCTCCATTTAGAGACATCCGGCCTTTAATATCAAATAAAATTAACGTTAACGTTTACATAAATGTCACACTTGTAATTGCCAAAACTATCTTATAATGTGTTCCTGCGTTTAATTTCTAAAGGAATCATAGACCGCGAGATGCAAAATGAGCACGAAATGTCTTATTTGGTTTTGTATTTATTATTATTACTGTCTTCATTTTCATCCAGGCAGCACTAGTGAAACGACTGGAAAATGCTACAAAAGAATTCAAATCCAACACAAAAACGAAAAAAATTGCGCTGCAGAAACTGGACGAGGCAACAGCTAATTGTGAAAATTTAAATAAACAACTTGAGCAAGTATCAAGAGACAAAGAGATTTTGGAAGGAAAACTGAAGCTGCTGGAGAAAGAATACGAGAAACTACAGGAAAGAGTCATTATGTCCAGTAAGACGAATTTGGATAACTATCAAGAACATACGCCTGAGAGAGACAATACGATGAAAAACATAAGTCCACATACCGGTCATCTAGAAGTGTGCCAGGTGAGAAGGAAGCTTAGAAACAGCTTAATAGTGAGCTGAATATTTTAGCCACAGAAAATATACTTGTTTTTTTACATACCACACCTTCTGGCCGGGAAGCATTGCAATCGCGAAAGTTTTCAAAAATGAGATATTCTGTTTCTTTGATGTTATAACATATGACATGTACGTCACGAAAAACCATGTCACCCATTTCCGTCGGTCTGTGTATCTGCCGGTCTACCGCAGGGTTATTACGTAAAATGTAATATGAAAAATCCGATAAAATGTTAACTTGTTCGCAGTTGACATTTTGTAGGAACACCTACACAATGTCATGAAGAACCTACATAATGTCAAAAAAGTCACAATGTCACTTCAAGTTACGTAACACCCTGCCGGTCTGTCCGCTAATCTTATAACCGTCTATAATTGGTGAAGTACCGCTCCCGTTTCGATGACATTGTTGCACAATGTTATTATTATGCCAGGGACGGAAAAGCTTTGCAGTTTTTCGTCCAGTAGCGACACAGAAAAAGGCCAGAAACAAAAAAAATAATAAAATCGTCTAAACTCTGTTTCAGACGATCGTGATCATTTTTGGAAAAACTTTTGTAGGGGTTAAAAGTTATGGGTAAGGGGTTGCAAGGAGTGGGAGAAGATATATCTCAGTTTTTCGACACGGACATATTGATACTCGTCCAACCCCAGTAATTCTACGCACATGTTAGGCATATTTCACTCATCATAGATGACCCCGGACATTTACCCTTAAAATTTACATCTCGTACAGTGTGAGTGAAGTGTCGGTATGTGCAATGTTGTCCCCCGATTGACAAGCGTCTACGTCGGTGGCCCTACGTCACAGTCGGCAATCGCTTCCACACTACTGAGGCATGCGTGCACTGTGCATGGTGGAGGCCAATATCGTAATTCACGCGGATGGTCATCGCAAATCTCAACGATCATGTGCACCTACAGAAATTCCTCTAAGGGGAAGGAGGAAGGTCATTAAATTTTTTGCTATGCATATTCGGGGCTAACTTTTTTCTCAGAAGGGCTAACTTATGCCAAACATAATACTTTACGAACTGATGATAGCGTAGCGTGGGAAGTACAGTCAATTTACTTGACGCCATTTTTTGTACTGTCAGTTATTTACGTTAATATAATACCGAAAATACATATTTCGTTAATTCTTCTCAATTAGATAATTAAAAGTGCAGTGTCAATGGTTTTGATTTAAACATCGCAATTTCCGCGCGCTCCGCCGTGAGGTCACAACTTATGGTTTGTCATTTTATTCTATGTTTCGTTAATTGCTATCAAGTTTTGAAGGATTCTATTTTTCTGATTGTTGTTTATGGGACGTTGTCTTGGCGACAAAATTGCTGGTGGTAGCCATTACTCTTTGGATTTGTTCGAACTTAGTGGTTGACAATCAATGACATCAACAAAGCAATGACCGCTCACTTGACGATATCGTGACGTCCCGCCAACAGCGTTGCGACTCAATATTTGAAATTTGCAGCTTGTTTTTTCTATTTTTTATTAATTAGTACTCCTATTTTATAGCGAATAAGTATGAAATATTTGAAGCTGGATTTCTGTAGTAATATAGACTGTAAATAAAAATAAATAACCAATATTTGAATCACATGGATATTCCCGATTGCAGGGGAAAGTACAGTTATGAAATTGAGTTAGGTTGAGTTGAGTCTATTTGGTTTCTGTGACTAGCCCTATACGGCACAACTTGTGTACATCAATACATCAGTAAGAATCATGATACGGCGTCGTATATGGTCGGTTACAGAAATGGTTCCTAAGTGATATATGACGTATTTCTTGATTTAGTATGGGAATTAGGGGCCAATCTTACACACATGTATAATTGTTCTCCAGTTTGAGTAAACATTTTGCAAGAAATCGACCTTTTTCGTTAGATACATAACTTCAAACACGACGTACGAGTATCATTGGTTGAATTTGTGACCACGCGCTTTTTTTTTGCGCCTCGGCTTAGTAAAATCGGGGCTGAGTGTCCTCTCTGATTGATGGGTCCTCCATGATGGTTGACATTTTCCGTTCTTCGAGCGGATTGTCTTTCAAATTTGTCATATGGCATTGAGGACCTTCTGCATATTCGACGTTAAGTCGGGTATATCAGCGTTGGCTCACAAGATGGCAACAGTCACCTCCGTGCGTTGAGTGGGGTTTATTTTTCTCCACATAAATCAAGTCAATATATCGACTGCACTAGCCTAATGAACGAAATTAAAATTTTCACTCTTATCAAAGTGTAACTTCTCAAACGTATGCGAAATGCTGTAATTTGCACCTGTACTTGCAGTGCTTTGGACTCGCCATACATCATTTATCCATGTTTCATGTAATAATTTCATCGACAACATGCCTTCGCGCTTGTACTACTATTATCAAATGATCTTTTAGGATATGAATTTGGCGTCTGTTTCTCAGACAGAGATGGATATGAAGAATATCCAAGTTAAAATTAAACAGCTAGAAAAAAATCTAGAAAACTTCAACACAACAAATCCTCTGGGTTATCAAAATGGAGAAGCAGAGGTAAGTATATATAACAGCTTATTAATAAAATTACCACCAGAATATGTCAGAACTTAACAACCCATAAACGAGCAGAATATCCGACAGATGACAAATCAGATGGTGTCAAATCGAATCTTCAGATCTAATATGTACAGAAGCAGATTACTTCTATATTACCCACTAAGAATATGCTTCACCTGATCCAGATTTGTCGAGTAGTAGGGAAATTCTTTTTAAGAGCTACTATCAACCAGACATTGAAATTTGGTTTTAGACAACGTAAGTAAAACACGTCATGACATGGCATCTAAAATTCAGACCGACGGAATTCATTGAGGTGAGAAGTTACAGGTAATTGCCTAAGGAGTCTCGAAGTGGGCAATAATTTATTTACGCACACGTGTGTGTATGGTACCACTATTCAATCTGTTTACTTATTTCGTATGATATTGCAACGTAAACGCCAAAAAACCTGCAATAAACTAATGTGGTCAAATTTTGTGCGACATGTGATAACAAGGTTCTAAACCGCCATTAGTGAGACAATGCCAAAACTTTTCACTCTTCAGATGTTTGTAATTCAAAAAGATGAAACCTCATTTCTTAACCAAAATAAGAGGTTTTTAACAGTCCTCACAATCCTTTGATCTTGAACATGTATGAGAATATAGCTAATTATGTACATCCTATCGTCGTTCTGTTAGGGGCTCAGGTACCGTGCACGTCCTAAACATCTACTTCCTCTTGTCATGTCCTCATGTCCTAAAAATGTACTTCCGATCGAGGTCCTGGTAGGCACGTCCCAACGACATCTTTCCATGTACATCTAGTCGATGTCCCCGCAAGTACTCCTGATCAACGTTCTGATCGGGGTGTTCCAACGATATCCATCTTATGTACTACATCCAGCTAAGTATATTCCAGAAACGTCCATCTTACTTACCGAATGTCCAGACATTACGAGAACATAGAAAGGACGACTTGAGGACGTCATGTATTATTAGGGTCGCTGTACAAAGCGTATTTGTATCTTTGGTCAAACGTTAGATAATTATTTTGAACATGAATTTAATATTTCTAGTCAGAAATCAGCTTGTCTGCCCAAGGAAATGCAACTGACACGGCCAGGACAGAGGAAGAGACTGACGTATCTGAATTTTTTGGAGGCGGTCCCAGATTCCGATATTGGGGAGGCAGAGCAGGAGATATGGTAACTTTGTACTTTTATCACATACGATTTATTAGTTGTGTCACTAGTGCTAACGTAGTACCTTTGGTGATTTTAATTTACAATCAAATAACACCTATAATAAGGACAATACAAGTAGATCAGCTATAGAGGGTCATCAGGTAGTCCCGGTACGGGAATATTCAAGGGGTATGATGTAAGTAACATAGTAGAGGTTAGTTGTTACTGAACGTAAGATTTCCCGTTTGATTCGTTTCCGAGGTCGAAAGTATAGGGATCCATTCAAAAGATTGTCTTGTCCTTTATTTGACTTTCAAGGTCATGCTGAAAGTCAATGAGTAGCCAGGAAAAATCCAGTACCTCTACTATTTCACTTTCAACGACAGCCTGTACATATGTTATGAACGTCCGACCAAAGAGACAGCGTAATCCTTCATCTTCCGCGCTGTGTTGTGGCAGTAAACGACACAATACATCACGAGTGCATGTGAAGGTGACAACAGTATGTTCCTAGATACGTAAACGTCTGTGCATAAGCAGGATTCCACATATTCCTCAAGTAACGTGATCTTGGGTGATAGTACGTGAGCTCGTATAATGTAACAATAATCTGTTTCCACATTAAATTATTGCTGAAATAGAAATATGCTGTGTCCTGAGCTGCTTTCCAGTCGTCTTAGCTTAAGTCAAGTCATCTTTGATTGTCAGAGCGGTTGGCAAGATCTTAGCTCTGCCATAGAGTCAGTTTGTAAGTCTATCATATCTAGTAAGCCAGAAACTAGACAATGTTAAAAGAGAAAGGAAAGAAAATGAGGGAAGGAAAGGAGAGAGCAACATAAGGAATGGAGAGAGCAACGATGAAGAAGATAATCAAGGAGCGTCCAGGCATTGTTAAGATGACTTGATAAATTTTGATATGGTGCTAGAATATTTGATTTTTGTCAGGGGTATTGCCAAAATGATTGTTCTAAATTCACGAATTAAATTTGATTACAGTGAGGGTTGCGTCCTTTTGTGCTTGCGAATTTGCTCGGCTGCATAGTCCACTGACTCGGAGATCAGAGGTTTGCTATGCGCTTCCGTATGGATATAATGCCGTTGCGTCTGTTGCTTAATGTAATTCCTCTGTGAAGGATTTTGTTAGAGACGTACAATGGTGAGGCAGTAATAGGGCGCAACATTCTGCTTTGCAGAAGCTGCAGATTTCGCCCGTGTGTTTTGGAACATAGCACCAAGCCGAACAAGTGCAACTACATTGTAGAGCCGAATCTTGTTAATTAAACTTAATTTTGGACGTTTACATAAGGCTATAGGCTATAGGCATAAGGCCCGCATGCTACACCCTGTCAAATGCTTGTAAGATACCCAAAAGCAAGATGCCAGTATTTTCATTACGGGTAAATCCTCGGGTTACTCGTTCCATCAGCCTCAATGCCAGTAATTTCGTACGATACTCAGACCAAAAATAGAATTGCACCTTAGGAATCACATGTTAATCACACGAAAAATTCTCAAGGCGAGGTAGAAGCACCTTTTCAGCGACCTTAGACAGCAAGCTAATGAGACGATAATCCTGGGGAAATATCGAACCCACTATTCTTTTGAATAATTATAAATTCAGCGGTCTACAACACGGATGGGAAGTACTGCACGGCCTCTATTATTGCCACGAGATAAGTCAAGGACTACCGGGAAAGCAGCTTCACCGCCGTATTGGTGATTTGACTCTCCTCTGGTTCTTTACGTATCTTGAGGTTTTTAATATGACCTTGAAACTCTGCTGTGCAATGCGGGATCTCGAGAGATTCCGCTGATGTGCTATGCACATTTTCAGTTAAGGAAGCTTCCGAGGAATAATCTGATTAGAAAAAGTCAGCAAAATGTACATGGAAATATAAACTGCATATGAACCATAATGGTGTTTAGCACTACTGAGTTGCTCCGAGTAACTCTGAGTAACTCAACTAGGTTACTGGAAAGCAGCTCTGGTGCCGCATGTGACAGGGCACGGAACCGTCATGAGCATGTTAGTGAGAATAAGTATGTTTTTAATGGCAAAACATTATTGTAGCGACACGTAAACTCATACTAGTTCAAGAATCAAGATGCAAATTGATGGATTGATAGAAACACATGCCTAGGGCTTCTATTTTCTCCTGATGTCTTCCATCGAATGATATCCATTCACGTAAAAAATTCGTTATTTTACTAAAAAGGAGATGGCGTATTCCTTATGGCAAATGACTGTCGCCGAAATTGGATAAAATTTGGTATGTTATTCTCCATACCAATATGAACACTATTGTCCCAATATTATTGGTTTTTGGGTTACAGAGTTTATTCGGCTTAATAAATTCGGAAACAGACTTCAACATGATTTTATGATTTCTTTGGCCAGTGATTTTTAGAAACTTAGCAGCTCCTATAATGCCGGGTGTCTGCCGATTTTCATATTTTTTTATCATGTCTTGCAGTTCTCAGGATGCGGAAATCAATCGAAATATTGATGAAAAATAGTTCACGGTTGGCTAGAATATTTGGTATGTTATTCTACGTAGCCTTTAGATCAAATGTCTTCATAATCAGAAGGCTATGTATCAATGGTCTTCGAGTTGCGGGAAGCAATAAAAATGATTTGATTTCGCCAGAAACATATCAGCATGACTCTATAGTTTTTTCGGTCGTTGAGTAAAAAGTAATAGATGAACCTCCTACTGGATGTCCTGCTTTCAGCCTCAGCTTTTGATTTTCTCCATAAAGGCGGAAGTGGAAAGTAAACTGTTAAATTAACTAAAATTATAGTATATTACACCCTGTATAGTGCGGTGGCTTTAGGTCACAGTTTGAGTTCCGCACGGGTATTATGTAGAAAACCTATAAAACGTCAAAAAAAAAAATCTAAAAGGTCATCTTGCAGACTAGGTAGTTTTTAGAGTACAAAAATTTCTTACACGTTTGCTCACTAGGATCGTTATGAGTGACCATCTATGGAGGAATGACTCAACTACACGTATTATGTGTATTTCTCTCACACATCAAGTATTTTCGCAATGCCTCACATCTAGTCCCTGATTTGTATTTTCTATTGACATCGCAAAATAAATTTCTATAAAATTTAAATGACTCGAAATAAAAAGTAACTCTTATAAATATTCCTGCCTGTAGCATATTTTATCACCTGTTCCTTTACCAACCAGGAATTTGACAAGAATCCAATGGAATTATCATCAACACAGATCCTCACTATGCACTTATGCATTGCCGTTTCCTTCTAGCTATAGTATACAACTTACAGCTTAGACCTCCAGTATTGCCGCCTGTGCAGCAGATTTTACGTCACATTAGAGCCAAACATTAATAACTGAAGCATCATGACGTTTAGACAACACGTTCAACAAAACGAGTTCACAACAAGTGTCCATCAGCTAGTGCTAAGTTAACATCTTGTAGAGAAACCTACATAGTGTCACAAAAAACCAATACAATGCCAAAAAAAATCGACATAATGTCACTTTTCAAGATGCGTAATGTGTTGTCAAATATTAGATTGGGTATGTTGTCAGTTAGTTGTGAGGTAGTATGTTACGGAGACCACGCCTACACCATGCTGAAGAGTTGCAAAGTAACACGAAACAGGTGTCCATTGCTGGGCGTCTGCGGTGGGATGAATGAAATCTATATTTCTATTTTGTTCAATGGCGAGTAGACTGTATCTACTGTAGCGCCAGAATCAGCGGCATCTAGCGACCGCAACAGTGGCCCGGCACCCGGCTCACAATACGAACTGGCATACAATTCCAAGATAGTGGTCGATAGTTCTCGAGTTTTCTAGAGAGTGATATTTTTATGTTACTAGGGTATACATGGCAGTGTGGAGTGGTATTTGGAGCGAATAAAACATAAACCGGCGATAAGTATTTCATTTTAACTTCCAAAAATAGTGCGCAAGGGATTATTCCGAAGCACTGTTTCTTGGTGTACCGCCGATCATCCAGCGAAGGACTCTGCATCGAAATCATCCCTTGAGGAATGGAGAGCCACTGGCGCGTCCATCTAGAGATCATCTATGCGTATTAGTGTTAGTGTCAGAGAAGTGGGATTTTCGTAAATCCCCGGAGCAGCAACTGGTGAGAGGTTCGTCGGAAATCGGTCACTAAATTCCAATTAGTATCAAAGCTATGGCTTCCGATATGAACTCTATGGTGCAAATGCTTCAAGAAATGAATGCGAAACGAGACCAAGTTACGGCTACGCAAATGCAAGCCATAATAAAGCAAGAGCAAGCTATAATGAAACATGATCAAACCGTAGTGAACGTTCACAGTAGCCAGGAACAAAAGTCATCAGCAAGTAGTTGCCGACCTGAAGTGCAGCCTAGAAGAAGCAGTTGCAGAGCTAAAACGCCAGGACGAGTCAATAGCAGGCCTTAAAGAGAACCTGCAGCGTCAAGAACACAGCAGACATGTAGAGTCTACCTGAGCAGCATGACAGTCCATAATAGATCATGGAAAGCGAATATGATCAGTAGAGGAACACGTAGAACAACAATTACAACAGTCACAATAACAAGTTTAAAAACGGCTACAGTAGGTAGAGAGGTTCACGTAAGAGAAATTATCGACGAGAGACTACGACATCTTAGTGCAGATGAATGTGATCTGACATTTCTAGTACCTATTCTAGCAGACAGACATAGAGGGGTAGTGGCGAAACCGTATCCATACGATGTTACAACATCCTGGAGCCTATATATATATATATATCATATCCTGTTTGAAAACATCGCTAAGATCACCAACTGGTCAGAGGAATAAAATGCTTGTGTACTGATCTCCATGTTACGGGATTCTGCTGCAAGTATTTTAGAAAACCTGCCTTGAAGCTACGTTCTGGGGATGTCCATTGAGAATAGCAGAATTTACCTGCTGGCAACATTCGCTTATGAGTTCAAGGTCTTGGTAAACGTGCTTCCTCGCGCAGCAGACCTGAGACACATGACTTGTTGATGGAATAGCTGTCCTTGATGTACAACGATTGTCAGGTCGTCAAGCCCCAATACTAGAAGAGAAGAAGCGTAAAGAAGAACGCACAAAAAATGCAAAAAACGCGAAACTGTAAAAAGGGTCTGCGCGGACCCGAGGGAAAACGACGTTTGAAGGAATAGCGTAACGCTGAGGCAGAGAACCGCATAAATATAGAAAGACATCTGGTGTCTAGGAGGAATGCTCTACGCATAGAAGAATACTATCTTGGTGAAGTTAATATTTCCTTAGAAGATCTTGGACACGCTCAAACAGAACATTCTGTACTGTTAGTTATTCCGTGGCTACTGAAAGGAAGCAATCCCAGTGCACAGGAAACATTAGCCATGAGCCCCGTAGTTGGAGCGTACTTGTCGTAATGTGCTTCATGTAAATCAGAGATAGGTAACCAGGAATGTTCAACTACATGGCCGCAGCACCAGGTGATCATTTTGGCATCAGAAAGACACTG